AGGGAGTGGTGGAGCTGCGATTCATCTCAAATCTGCCTCCCCCCAGACCTCCACCTCTTAACAGTTTCCGGCCCTGCTGCACATGACCCTAGCACACAGTAGGTGCTCTGTAAAAATACGTAACTTTACATAACATTCAGCATTGTCTCCATTTTTTACACATGAAGAAACTGAGGCTCCTATAAGTTAAGGAACTTTAGCCCAAGATCACATGGCTGGTGGCAGAACTGGGATTCAAACTGCAGGTTGGCCTTAATCATATTATTACTCACATACCATGCTGCCTACATTTACCTGCTTAAGGTTCACTTCAAGCTGTGCTGCCTTCAGGATCCACATGGCCTTCAGTTTAAGATTTGCTTGTTAAAAGGGAATGGCAACACATATTAGAGTGCTTCTGAATTTTTTTAAATGTATTTTATTGAAAAAAAATCTATTTATTCAACTATAGTTAGTTTACAATGTTGTGTCAGTTTCTGGTGTACAGCACAATACTTCAGTCATATAGGAACATACATATATTCGTTTTCATATTTTTAACCATAAGTTACTACAAGATATTGAATATAGTTCCCTGTGCTGTACAGTATAAACTTGTTGTTTGAATTTTTCTGATCATCATATAAAATCCCTGATATTACACTGTTCTATCTGTAACTTTTTGGACTTGAGATTTTTTGCAATTCATCATGTACCATTTTCATGGGGAAAGAGGTGCTGGGTTCAATCCCTAGTACCTTCATTAACAAAAGCAAAAGAACAAGCATTTACATAGGAATCCTGTCCCATCCTAAACATATCAGAAGTAGTATTTATAAACTCAGATGGGATTCCTCTAAGAGTAAAGGGTGACAGATGTGTTAAAGTCACTAATGCCTACACAGGTTGCTGAGTTAAAATTTGGTCAATAGTATTATTCTGGGAAATAACTTGAGCAGGTGTTCCAGGATTGAAGCAGTCAGGCTTTCCCTGCAGTCCCCGTACCCATCACAACCCTGGGAGCTGTGGTGCCTCTGGGCAGCATGTGGCACCTGGTTTTAATTTATAATAAACCTCCCACCTGGTCCTGAGAAGAAAGCTGGACTGAAGAGATAAGAGCTGCAGGCCTTCCGCCCTATGTGGAGGAGGTTGTTAAGGTCTGAGGGAGCTCTCTAGGCTCCCTGGAGGGAAGAGGCAGAGCAGTTGGAGAGACAAAGGCTGGGGGGAGGGGAATAACCTTTGTTCCAAGGATGACTTGGGGGAGGAAACATTCCCCTCTCTCTACCCTCACCGGACCTGAACCCCGGGGGAGTAAGCCCCATTTATCCCAGATAGCTGACCTATCTCATCCTGAGAGAAAAAAGTGAAGCTATCGGGGAGTAAGCCCCATTTATCCCAGATAGCTGACCTATCTCATCCTGAGAGGAAAAAGTGAAGCTATCAGGTTCCTGCTAGGGCTTAAAGGTACCATCAGTCTCCTCCCCACAACACTCCCACCACCCAGAAGGGAAAGAAAATGGGGCTGGGGGCTGGGCAGAGCAACAGTGCTGCCCTCCCTTCTAGATTTTCACACGTTGTATTCCCAGCCTCTCCACATTTTAGAGATAACTCTAGAGATAAACTGTCAGGAGCTAAAGCATTCTGATATTAGACCTCGTCCTGTTTTCATGGTGAGTATTCATTTTGTGACAGGTATTCCATGAACTCAAAAGGGTGAAGTGAATTTGAATTGGAAAGATAAAGGCTATAAGGATGTTTTCCTTCTTAACCTCTAAAGACAGATTTTTTTTCTTGGTGACAACACTCACTATCTATAACTTGGGATAATTTAACTTCTGTGAACTTTGTTTTTTTCATATGTATAGGGGAATTATAGCAGGCTCTGATGATTCATAAAGTTATGAAAATTAAATAAATTGTTAAGCCCTTTAGGAAGCAGTTTAGCACAGGACACATAGAAAGCTGATTGCTTTGGAGTCCAACATTTTGTTTGGTAGAAATTGACCAATGGGCTGAAGGAGGAGCCCCAGTGATTGAGCTGTTTCTCTTCTTATTACAGCTATCTCTGAAGGGCACAAATCAGAAGGCACCATGCCTCCTAATAAAGAGGCCAGCAGTCTTAATAGCTCCCCTGCGGGGCTCATCTGCCTCCCTCCAATCTCCGAGGAGCTACAGCTTGTGTGGACCCAAGCAGCCCAGACCAGTGAGCTGGATGGCAATGAACACTTGCTGCAAACCTTCAGCTACTTCCCCTATCCCAGTTTAGCGGACATTGCCCTTCTCTGCCTACGCTATGGGCTGCAGATGGAGAAAGTCAAGACTTGGTTCATGGCCCAGCGCCTCCGCTGTGGCATAAGCTGGTCATCTGAAGAAATAGAAGAGACTCGAGCCCGAGTGATCTACCATCGGGACCAGCTCCATTTCAAATCTCTTCTCTCTTTTACTCACCATGCAGGACGGCCCCCAGAGGAGGTGACTCCTTCTCCAATGCCACCTTCAGAACAAGTTGGTCTGGGAATAGTGCCCCTGAATCTTAGCGAGCCCACCCAGATGAAAGGACTGAAGGTAGAGCCTGAGGAGTCCTCAGAGCCACTGAGTCACCAGAAAGTGAAGGAGCCCCTGACAGCACCTGGCAGCGGCACATTCCCCCACCAGTCACGACTTTGGCAGGATCTTCAAAGCAGTGGCCTCTCTAAGGAGCAGGCAGGCAGGGGTCCCAACCAGTCACATGGCCTAGGTACTGCTTCCTGGAACCACTCCACAGCTGTCCACCAGCCCCGTGCTCGGGATAAGCCCCCACCAATCTCATCACTTGCCAGTAGTTGTAAGAAGGAGTCAGCATCTAATGTGACTCCTCCTTCCTCTACCTCTTCTTCCTCTTTCCAGGTACTGGCTAATGGAGCTACTGCCACCTCTAAACCCCCACAGCCACTGTCACCCAATGAACAGGCGCTACCCCCACATCTGGAGCCAGCCTGGCCCCAGGGGCTAAGGCATAACTCAGCACCAAGTAGGGTTGGTCCTGCAGAGTACCTTTCCCCAGATATGCAACGCCAGCGAAAGACCAAGCGCAAAACCAAAGAGCAGCTGGCTATCCTCAAATCGTTTTTTTTACAGTGCCAATGGGCACGGCGTGAGGATTACCATAAATTAGAGCAGATCACTGGTTTACCACGGCCTGAGATCATCCAGTGGTTTGGTGACACACGCTATGCCCTGAAGCATGGGCAACTAAAATGGTTTCGGGACAACGCAGTACCTGGTGCCCCTAGTTTCCAGGATCCAGCAATTCCCACACCACCACCTTCAACCCGCTCATTGAATGAATGGGCTGAGACACCACCTCTGCCGATCCCCCCACCCCCACCGGATATACGACCCTTGGAGAGGTACTGGGCAACCCACCAACGGCTACGGGAAAATGACATCCCTCAACTGAGTCAAGCATCAAGGCTTAGCACCCAGCAGGTACTGGATTGGTTTGACTCTCGATTACCTGAGCCAGCTGAAGTGGTGGTCTGTCTAGATGAAGAGGAGGAAGAGGAGGAGGAAGAGCTGCCAGAAGATGATGAGGATGAAGAAGAGGAGGAGGAAGAAGATGACTATGATGATGATGATGTGATCATACAGGACTGAGTGGGAGGCTGGCGGAGGGGAGATCTGTTACTAAAACATGAACCAATTAAGTGTTTAAACAAAGAAACCACATTTTTTAAATTACTTTGTGGCAAAGACCTGAAAAGCTTTGTGTTCTTGAGGGTAGGGGTTGGGGGATATAGTGAGGGTGAACCAGGGCCAATGACTGTGGAGTACGAAGTCAGGTGGGGATTGGATAGGCAGAAACCTCTAGCCTCAGTGAAGAGCGTGCTCAGGGTCTGGTCCAAACTATGGGGCTGGGAAAAGGTTGTTGCTCTCCTCATATCAGCTGTTCCTTTCCCTTAGTGTACTACAGAGAGGCCAGGCCTGGGCCTACATCTGTAGGAGGGCAGAAAAGGAGTAAAGAATTTTGACTCACTGATAATTCCAGCACATGCCCCCAAGCCACCATTTCCCCTGGAATATAAGGCTGCCTTGCACCCCTTGTTTTCTGAGCACAAGTCCATGCATAATGCAGCTAAGAATCTCAGTATGTCCCAGTCAATCACAGATATTGCCTCTTCCTCATACCAACCTGACTTTCTATATTTTTCTGCTTTATGGAGTCACACAGGTAGCAGAATGTTTTCATTTCTGATACTGGGACCACTATGCCTTGTACCTTTTTATCTCTTTCCAAAATCCTCATTTTGCTCACTATTTGTCTCAGGGTAAAATCTTCCCCCCAGAGCTTGTGAAAAAGTCTAATAATTGGGTGGAGAATAATTTAGGCTGGATATTTATTGGAGGTGGGAATTAAGGGAGATGTCCTTTTTCTTCAAAAAAAAAAAAAGTAGAATTAGATGACAGAGGGATAAAGGTGAGGGAATGGTTTCTACTGTTCAGAAGGAAGGTGCAGGTAGGTTCTAGGTTTGGTTTTACAAACCTGACACTCCCTCCTGCCGAGCATGACAGGTTGATTTTTTATCTTTTTGCTGTTGGTTTAATTTGTGTCCGGAAAAGGACTTTTCCCTCTCTTTATAGGATCTGTCTTGGGGACAGAGGGACCATGGTCTTTAACTGAATTAATTATTGATGTTTTAGAATGGTTTTCACCAGCTGGGGTCAGATATAAAGATATCAATCGGTTCACCCATCTAGAAATAAGAGTGGAAGCCCCAAATTGCTAGAATAATAATAAAAAGGCCAAAAATAAAACTGTTTCTTTCTCCTACACTTTGCTACTTCTATGGTTTAAAGACTAATGGAGCCAAATCCATTAACTTTCTGATTTAGTATACTTTTTATTTATTTTTTTAAGCAGCAGGATATGTTGAAGTAAAGTAAAAGAACAAAACTTTCAAAGGCAGTAGATCAGTATCTATCCTTAGGCAGATTGTTTTCTGCACCTGCTACAGCAGAGGCTCTTGCTCAGAAGAGGGGGTGCCTAGAAATGCCTTTAAAAATAAATTCCGTTTCAGAAAGGGTAGCGGGATCCCACCAAGCTACAAGGTCATTCCCAAGACCTAAATCATTTCAGACAGATGCTATCTTTACATTTTTCCAATATTTTTGCTTAAGGTACACCTGCCAGTGGCCCAGCCATTTAATTCCTCATTTCTACCCCTTAGTATTCAAAGAATAAATCTGATCTCAGTGGTAGTGTTCTTTGCCTATTCCGTCATTCTAGAGTTTGTAATAACAACAGAGTTGCATGTAAAAGGGCATCCTCTTTATTTTATTATCTGTGTACTTTGGTAAGCTGAAAGCCTGGGTCTCCAACTGTTACAAACAAAAAGGAAAAACAACACATTTAATAGTAACTAGGCATAGAGGAAACAATAGGCAAATAGAAAAAGTATAATAAATTAGGGCAAGGAACAGAGTTGTTGCTTGTTAACACTGCCAGAGGGAGAATAGCTAAAAAGCGAAATCCAGAAATAAAACATGGTTAATGAGCATATAACCCCCTCCCCGACCTCTAATGATGCCAAGAATTGATTTTATAACCTTTGTTTCAAGTTGTAGGAAATAAGGGAGCTACATATATCTTGTGGGAGAGATACACACATCTTCCGAAGCACTAATCTTACATAAGACCTGACTGCTTTCATAGGAAGTAATACAGGGTTTATAGGGTAAAGACTGAGAGAGAGAAGGTACAAAGTGAAATCAGGAAACAAGGCAGGGGTACATTTTCCAAGGCCGGCACGCTTAAATGTGTATTGGATGCTACCGTCCGTCCATCACAGAACTTGCAGATGGTCTATCTGGGAGTGTTCCATGCTTCTCTCCCCCTGGCTAATCCCATCTGCCTCTGTTGGTAGAGATTCTGCAGCACAGGACAGGAAGGCAGTTAAGGGTGTTCATAACAAAAAAGGGCAAGTAAGGCCCTCTCAAGTCATGATATGAAGTTTATCGTGACAGAAAACCACCACTGTTGCTTCCCCATAGTCTTCTTCATTTCATGAAAACTAATTTTTCCTAATTAAGATTTGATGCATCTAGTGTGACAAAGGCTTTGTTGCTACTTATGATAAGTAAACTGGAATATTTCAGCAGTTTATGGTGGTGATAAGGTAGAATATTTGAAAATCGAACAGTTTTGGGAAACCTGGAACATATGACTACCATACCAGAGATGATTACCAGGGACACAGAATGCTTTTGCCTCTGGGGAGGTGGGACTTTCTTCAGTAACTCTTTTTTTTTAATTTTATGGAACTTTTGCAAAAATACAAAAATAGAATAGTATAATGAATTCACATGTACTCCTTACCCAACTTCAATAATTAACTCATAGCCAATTTTCTTTCATTTCTACTCTTTCACTGCTCCTCTCTACTGGATTACACTGAAGCAAAACCCAGACAATCATTTACCTTTCAATCCATAAATATTTTAGTATGCATCTCCAAAAGATAAAAACTATTTTTAAAAACGTAACCACAATAGCATCATGCTTGCCCAAAAAACTATTAACAATTCCTTCATATCAAATGTCCACTAGGTATTCAGTTTTTCTCAACTGTCTCATAAATGGGCTTTTTGTTTTTTTACAGTTTATTCCAATCAAGATTCAACTGGGAGCCATTTATCTGCAGATGATTTGTATGTCTTTTACATCTTTTTTTATCTGTAGGTTAATCCCTCCATTTGTGAAGATCTTAGGATGTTATTTCCCCAGTGTTGCCTCTTAGGGCTTAGACCCTAATTTCTTGCTGATGAAAATAAAGGGCATTTTGGAATATGAGAGAAAAATATTTACCTACCTTAGTAGGTCACCAGGAGCTTGGCCTAAATATCCTCAAAACCCAAGCCTTAAAATTTAACTTAAAAGGCAAGGCTGGACTTTTCACTTAATTTTTTTAAACCTCTCTTCTCGTTCCCATGCCCTTTTCCTCTTGTTTCCCGAATCACAGTCTCATAAATTTACAAAACATTATTCTAGCCACCTCTGGAGATGTGAAATGGTCTTTCCTAGTTCAAGCAGTACTTCTATCCAAAAGATATACTCCATTGAAAATACTTTTCTTTGAAACTTGCGGGAATGTCATTTGTGTCTACCTACCTAGTTCACCTTGGCCAAGATCTCTTAGTTTAAAGCCTTTCACCACTAGGTGACCTAATTTTTAAACCCCAAACCAGGAAGCTAATCTGATAGTGGGATAGAATCTTTGAAACTAAGACCACTCTGGAAAATTGTGTACATATGGTTACCACACTTGACATCCATGTCATTCTCCACTGGTTACATTCTACCACCTCAACAGGAGACCAGCATGAGGCATTTAGTTTGCAAGCCTAACTGAATCTTTCATGCACAGACACGTTAGACTAGCCAGGACTCACCTGCAGGACTGGTAGCTGGAAACCAGGAAGACTCTCTGGGGTGGTTCTGCTCTCCCTCTGAGCTGAAGGATAGAACAGAATGGTGGAAGATAACTTTCTCAGGCAGTTCCTCAGTATTGCTATTTATGGATCAGGATAAATAAGTGGTTCTTAATCTACAGTATGCTACTTAGAAGGGAAAAGACTATGAGCTAAGCAATTTAAGAAGTTGGTTATAAAGTCCATTCTTTTCCTGTGAAGATGGGGTGCTGACATGGAGGGCTGAGACTGAGTTTAACGGTGACTAGAAAGATACAGAGACAATATAGAGATCTTGGTGAGCTCTAAAAGGTGACAGACCCTTATCATGAGGACTGGTTAACAGAGGTACCTTTTTGGAAAACATGAGGGAAAAAAAGGATGCTAGTTTTATCATTCTAATTTAGCACCGAGCTCCCAGCAATGTTCCAACATAGGGATCTCAAAAGAAAGAAAGAAACAAACAAACAAACAAAAAGCCAATTTAACTCCATAGGATGACCTTCTGGACAAACAGCAGAACTTGACTCCTGGTGACAGAATGAGTGATATTTAGGTAAAATCCAAAAATTTCCTTCACTGTGAAGTAAATAGGAGTCAAACTTGAGATAGTACTTTTTGTGGGATGTGGGGTGTGCAAATCCCAACTTCTTTTCACCTCGAAAGTCTTCATTTTAGTGTATTTGTCAATGGTTGAAGTGCTACTCCTAGGGGAATGTTAACTTACCTGAATTATTGGGAGTGACGACTCTTATGTGGCCTGAATCTCCCCCATTTAGGGATGGCCTTAAAGGAAAAATCCCCTGTCCGGAGGAGGCAGGTGAAGGTCTGAAGAGGGGAAATAAAAGCATCAGCAGAGAAAAGGAAAGGTCAAAGTAAGAAGCATATGTAAAGGAAGAGCCTATACATTTAAGTCGGAGAGGAAATAAATCCCCTGCTTACAACTCACAATACAATTAAGTAATTCAGATGTATATTAGACACAGTACCATTCAATCTTTTCTTTTGTTTACAAGGTAGATTATAAACACCAGTGGTACATACAGGTCAGTGGAGAAGTAACCCCAGGCTACTGGCAGAGTGTCAGTGTGAACAGATTCCAAGTGAAAGGAAGCACAGTGTTACTTACCTATAAGATAGGCTCTGAGTGGAAGCTGGTGAAGGGGTTTCTGGAAAGCATAAAAATGAGCCAGTGAGATAATCCATGAACTGAGAAGAGATTCAGGTATTCTGGGGGCCAGGGCAAAGGAATTGGGGATCAGAGATTTTTGGTATACAGGTTAGGCTTAGGGGCTAATGGCAAGTGAAAAAGCCCACAGATCACCTAGCAGTGAATCATAAAGGTGCTTTCTTTCTTTTTTTTTTTAACATTTTTTATTGATTTATAATCATTTTACAATGTTGTGTCAAATTCCAGTGTTCAGCACAATTTTTCAGTCATTCATGGACATATACACACTCTTTGTCACATTTTTTTCTCTGTGAGTTATCATAACATTTTGTGTATATTTCCCTAAAGGTGCTTTCCTCTCCCTTTCATGAGTCTGTGGGCCAGGATCCATCACTGCCTTGATGTGCTCTAATGTATCTGTGCCATGGTTTCCCCTCTAAGATGAAGATCACCAGAAAGAATGGCTAAAGGCAAAGGATCATTAAATTGGCTGGGAGTAGATTTCTCCAAAGAAGACATACAGATGGACAACAGGCCCATGAAAAGATGCTCAACATCACTAATTATCAGAGGAATGCAAATGAAAACTACAATGAGTTATCACCTCACGTTGGTCAGAACAGCCATCATCAAAAAGTCTACAAATAATAAATGCTGGAGAGGGTTGAACAAAAGGGAACCCTCCTACACTGTTGGTTGGAATGTAAATTGGTACAGCTAGTATGGAGGTTCCTTAAAAAACTAAAAATAGAGTTACTATATGATCCCGCTATCCCACTCCTGGACATCTATATCAAGAAACCTCTAATTCAAAAAGATACATGCACCCCAGTGTTCACAGCAGCACTATTTATTTACAATAGCCAAGACATGGAAGCAACCTAAAAGTGACTGGATAAAGAAGATGTGGTATTTATATATATACAATGGGATATTACTCAGCCATAAAAAAGAATGAAATAATGCCATTTGCAGCAACATGGAGGGACCTAGAGATTATCATACTAACTGAAGTAAGTCAGACTGAGACAAATATCATATGATATCATTTATATGTGGAATCTAAAAAAATGATACAAATGAGCTTATTTACAAAACAGAAAGAGACTCACAGACATAGAAAACAAACTTATGGTTACCTAAGGGGAAAGGGCAGGGGGTAATAATAATTAGGAATTTGCAATCAACATATACACACAACTACATATAAAATAGAAAATCAACAAGGACCTACAGTATAGCACAGGAGACTATATTCAATATCTCATAATAACCTAGAATGGAAAAGAATCTTAAAAATAATACATATATGTATATGTATAGCTGAATCACTTTGTTGTACACCTGAAATTAATACATTATAAATCACCTATACTTCAATCAACAAAAAAAGTTTAAAAAAACGAACTTAAAAAAAAAAGGCTGAGAGTGACATCAGCAAAAATGATGAAGTAATGATTGCCACAGATTTTCTCCATAAATGGAATGAGAAAACTGGCAAAAATGGTCAGAATCAATGTTTTCAGAATTCTGGAATTAACAAAGGGCTTTTAGCAATCTGGAGGAATGTTATTCCAGACAAACAGCTGAATGTGAGTAAGAACAGTGAGCTTTGTGTCATGTCAACTTGCCCTATTTCCATTTCTCCTTCTCCAGCTCTATGGTAGCCTTGAAAATCAACAGTATGGCAGTCACCATAGGAGATGGAATGGGGCTGGAGCTCTTTCAAAGTCTCATTCCCAGAGAACTGTCATTACTTGACCTGTCTACTGGTTCACTGGAAGACTTCACTTGCAAAGCTGTCATTATTTGACCTGACTTGGAGCCAAACTCACCAAGACTTGGAGCTTAAAGCTCACCAAGTGTAAAAGCCTCTTCCCCAGAAGTGTTTGTTGCAAACAATTAGAGGCATCTGTTTAGGCTGCCTGAGGAGGTGACTATCAATTGGGACAAACAACAGGCTAACCAAAAAGCATCAAAGGAAAAGCTGTGGAGTGGTCTACTGGGACTTTGAAAAGGAATAACACATTCTTCAGAATCTAGGCCATGTGCATGCACAGAAGTATGTGCATGCTCAGGAAAGACCTGGAGAGGCCCTAAGCTCTCACCTTGGGCCCACTTTGAGGACATACAAGCAGAAAGGCACAGTTGTCAATTGCCCGCTGAGTGTTGAAGGCGCACCCCCTAATACACAAGAGTCTCTCAACAAAGACAGAGCAATTTATTGGTCCCAGGTGTTTAAGGAAATCCCTGTCCAATCATTAGCCAACCACTAAGCTAACAGAATAGAGACTTCTGTGGCCACATGTGACAAAGAATACAGATTTTACAGAATTCGTTTTACTTTTTGGGGGGTTTTGTGGGGGAAGGTAATTAGATCTATTTATTTATTTTTAGAGGAGGTGCTAGGAATTGAACCCAGGACCTTGTGCACGTTAAGCATGTGCTCTACCACTTGAGCTGTACCCTCCCCCTTACAGAATTCGTTTTAGAAACTTATTAAATAAACAGCAAAAAACAGCAATAACAACAAACCTTGGGGTTGGGGGTAGTATCTGATTCCTAGAGTTGCCATGTTATATTATTTAAATGTCCAGTTTTCGACAAAAAATTATGAGGCATGCAAAGGAACAGAGTATGACCCATATAAAGGAAAAAGCATAATCAACAGAAACTGTCTTTGAGGAAACCCAGATACATTGGACTTTCATGACAAAAACTTTAAACCAGCTATTTTAAGTATGTTCAAATAAAGGAAACTAAGTCTAAAACACTAAATGGAAGTATGAGAATGATCTCATCAAATGGAGAATATTAATAAAGAAAAATTACATTAAAAAGAAGCAAATATAAATTCTGGAATTGAAAAGTACCATAACTAAAATTCAAACTTCATTAGAGATGAGCAGGCAGAAGAAAGAATCAGCAAATTTGAAGATAAATCAATCAAGATTATTCAGTGTGAGGAAGAGAAAGAAAAAGGAATGAAGAAAAATGAACACAGCCTCAGAGACCTTGGTGGAATGCCATCAAGCCTACTATCATGTGCAAAATGGGAGCACCAGAAGGAGAAAGAGAGGAACAGGGACAGAAAGAATATCTGAAGAAATAATGCCTGACAGTTTCCCAAATTGGATGAAAACATTCATCAGTACATTCAAGTAGCTCAACAAATCCCGAAGAGGATAAATCAAAGAGATCTACACCTAGACTCATCATAAACTGTTCAAAGCTAAAGACTAAAAAAGAGCCTCAGAAACAGCAAGAGAGAAGCCATTCATCACATGCAAGGGATTCTCAATAAAACTGGCACTGATTTCGCCTCAAAAACTATGAAGGCCAGAACATAGGAGGATAATATATTCAAAATGCAAAAGAAAGATTGTCAATCAAAAATTTCAAAACTAGCAAACTGTCCTTCAAAAATGAAGAAGAAATTAAGACACTCCTGGATGAGCTAAACTGAGAGAATTCATCACTATCAAACCTGCTTTATGAGAAATACTAAAGAGTGTCCTTCAGGCTTAAGTGACAGGACACTAGACAGTAACTCAAATCTACATGAAGAAATAATAAATATCACTAGTAAAGGTAATTACATTGGCAAACATAGACGTATAAGTGTATTTCTGTAACTTCCTCCTATCTGATTTAAAAGACAATTGCATAAAACATAATTATAAATTTGTGTTGATGAGAACACAACCTATAAAGATGTAACTTATATGATAATAACACAATGGATGGGGGAGAATAGAACTATACAGGAGGAAAGCTTTTGTACTGTTGAAATTAAGTTTGGTATTACTCTGAACTAGGTTGTTATAAATTATGATGTTAATTATAATCCCTAAGAAAATAACTCAAAAAATATAGTAAAAGAAACAATAAGGGAAGTAAGATGGTACACTAGAAAATTGGCATTTAAGACAAGATATGGAAACAACCTAAATGTCCATCAACAGATGACTGGCTAAAGTAGCTGTGGTATATTTATATGATAGAATACTAGTCAGCCACAAATAATAATAAAATAATGCCATTTGCAGCAACATGGATGGACCTGGGGATTGTAATTCTAAGTGAAATAAGCTAGAAAGAGAGAGAAAAATGTCATATGATATCTCTTATTCGTGGAATCAAAAAAAAAAGACAAATGAACATATTTGCAAAACAGAAACAGACTTTCAGACATAGAGAACAAACTTGTGGTTACCAGGGAGGAGGGTGGTGGGAGGGGAAAAATTTGGAGTCAGAGATTTGCAGATACTAACTGATATACATAGACTAGATAAACAACAAGTTCATGCTGTATAGTGCAGGGAACTATATTTGATATCGTATAGTAACTTACGGTGAAAAGAATATGAAAACGAATATATGTATGTTCATGTATGACTGAAGCATTGTGCTGTACATCAGAAATTGACACAACATTGTAAACTGATTATACTTCAATTAAAAATAATAGAGAAAATTGCTATTTAATACAAAAAAAAGGCTATAATGGAGGAAGTGAGGCACAAAACACATATAAGACATAGAAAACAAATAGCAAAATGGCAAACATCTTTCTTGATCACTAATTATATTAAATGTAAATGTATTAAACTCTCCAGTTAAAAGGCAGATACTTGCCAAATGGTGAAAAACGATCCAACTATACACTGTCTACAAGATTCCCTTTGAATTCAAAGACACATAGAGGTTTAGGGGGTGGGTACAGCTCAGTGGTAGAGTGCATGCTTAGCATGCATGAGGTCCTGGGTTCGATCCCCAGTACCTCCATTAAAAAAAAAAAGACACATGGAAGTTTAGAGTAAAAAGACAGAAAAAGATATACCGTGCAAACAGTAACAGAAGAGAGCTGGAGTGGCTAATATCAAACAAATGCACTTTGAGACAACATTGTTACTAGAAACAAAGGTCAAAATGATAAAAGGGTCAGCCCATTAAAAATATATAATACATATGCACTTAACAACAGAGTCCTAAAATACATGAAGCAATAACTGACAGAATTGAAGAGAAAAATTCAACAATAATAGTTGGAGACTTCAATACCCCACTTTTGATAACGGATGAAACAACTAGACAGAAGATCAGCAAGAAAATAGACAACTTGAACAACACTACATACCAACTAAATCTAACAGACATCTATAGAACAATCCACTCAACAACAGCAGAATACACATTTTTCTCAAGTGTGCACGGAACATTCACTGGGAAAGACCATCTTTTAGACCATAAATTTAAAAGGATCTAAATCATACAAAGTATGTTGTTCAACAACAATAAAATGAAATTAAAATCAATAACAGAAGGAAATTTGGGAAATTAACAATTATGTGGAAAATCAACACTGCTAAATAACTAATGGGTCAAAGAAGAAAATCACAGAACTTAGAAAATACTTTGAGATGAATGAAAACAAAAACACAACGTACTAAACCTTAAAAGATGCAGTGAAAACAGTGCTTAGAATGAATTTGTAACTGTAAACGTCTATATTGAAAAAGCAGATCTCAAATCAATAAGCTAACCTTCCACTTTAATAAACTAGAAGAACTAAACCCAAAAGCAGAAGGAAAGATTAGAGCAGAAATAAATGAAAGAGAACAGAAAAATAACAGAGAAAAATTAACAAAACCAAAAGTTGGTTCTTTGACATGATCAACAAAATTGATCTTTAGCCAGGCTGTCCAAGTAAAAAGAAGAAAGTCTCAAATAAATAAAATCAGGAATGAAAGAGAATATTACTCACCTGAAGAAATAAATTAGCTAGACCTAACCTACATTTTTCAAAGGGGTGAATGTGAAAGAGTCGGAGGGAAACTATTTGATGAATTTCAAAAATGGTTATCCAGAAAGAGGTTTGTGAATTTCAAAACTGCCTCTTGGGAAAGAAAGGGAAATCCTCTCTGATAAGTGTTCTCTATGGACTGACTAATGCCTTGAAAACATTGTGATAATGGTAATAGTTCTAAGGAGAAAGAGATGAGAAATTAAGTGGGTGGAACCAAAATATTTCCTCACTGGAATATTTTTAGGTTTAATACACAGTGAAGAAGCCAGATGCCCTTCAGGCTTACAGAGTCAACGAGTTAATCTTTCTTTAGACTTAACTTCTACTGCCATCTTGTGGCAATTAAAAAATACAAGTCGATTATATATTTTTTAAATTTTATTTTTTAAAATTTGTTTTTCTTTATATTTTCTCAGTGACTTTACTGACTTAATTTTTTTTAGCTTTTTTTGTGGGAAGGAGGTAATTAGGTTTATTTATTAATTTTTGGAAGTGGTACTGGGGATTAAACCCAGCAACTTGTGCATGCTAAGCACACACTCTACCGCTTGAGTTATACCCTGCCCCCCAAGTCAGTTGTTTTACTCAAAAGTTACCCTCCATCTCCTGACCAGAGGTCTTCAATGACTTTCTATCACTCAAGCTTCAATTTCCCCTTATCAGTTTGAGAACAGAAATATCGTTATTTGAAAAGTAGTACTATGTGTCTGGGTACCTGAAATCACTGGAGAAAATAAAGTAAAATGGCATTATATTATGCACAGAAAACCAGAAATCTGCTGGTGTCTATACAGAATGTTGGTTTCCAACATCTTTTTTTCCCCCTCTCACCAGTATAAGAGTCTCTGGGAGTGCTCCTTCCCTGCAGGCCTCTGGCTCCCTGGTGGACAGATAATAAACATTAATAAATATATCCTGATTCTCTGGCTTCCTTATTTCTTGCTATGATTATACATTAAAGCATATGTTGTTCTTCCAGGGTGGGTATGTCAGTCCAAGAAGGATCCATGCTTTACTCCTTCCAAAATGAACATGACAGACACTGTTAGTGCAGACCTTGAACCCTTGCACTATTTTCACCCCTGTTCATTCCATGTCAGCTTCTAACATCAGGTCTGCATAGCTAAAAGAAAAGAGTCCAGGAGTGGCATCAGGTAATTAAAGTCAAAACCAATATAAGGTTAATATCTTTGCTTTAATCTTGGCTTACATCATTTAGCATTAGAAATTGCAATCTGGAAAGACAAGGTAAAGACTACTTACTTGTCCCAAGATGCTAAAGCCAGCCACTCTATAAGGGATGGACTCCACTGAGGAGGACCGACTGTATAAGGTGAAACAAAAAGGAAAAAACAAGCAAACCTAGTATTACACTTTTACGTAGACATGAAGTCTTCCTAGCCCCCATCTCAGCCACATCTAGGCATTTCTTTCATCTTCCAACTTTTGCCAACAGTTTTAATGTTGACGTGTAGTTTTCTACTCACCTGACCACTTGGCTGCTATGCTGAGAACTGGGTCGTGGAGTAACTGAAAGGGAATAAAATGCAGAATGAAAAGTTGCCATGAATGTGCACCCTGCTTTGCCTAGCCTATCTGTCACAAGTGAGTTATCTGGGAGAATGGCCTTTTCATATCATACATAAGGTTAGGAAAATCACAATACACTCTCTGAGAGGAAACCATCTTCCATATGGGAAAAGGATATTTACTCATCTCACACAGATATTGGTCTCTACCTGACTGTGATGGAGAAGTAATGCCCACTGGTCGAGGTGTGGTCAACCTGCAAGGAAAAAAAAAAAGGCAGCTCTAATCTCTTTAAGCAGAAGTTAGTTCTACCTTAGAGGATCAACCAGACTATTGTTTACGGAAATAATAGCTTCCTCTCTGAGCACAGATTGCTTACTACCATATATTACAGGTATTACCCCAAAATATGGAGGCAAAGTTTCCATGAGACTTCTTGGCTCTCCAGCTCCCTAAGAAAAACCTCCATTTCTCTATTGCCCACAAAAGGAATTCTGAAATCCTTTCTTCCTAGTGCCTGACCAGGTACTCTCAACTTCACATATATCTATGCATCATACATCTACCATTCCCTTACTCCCTCCATCCCCTCATCCATCTGTCCACAAGTATTTATTGAGTGCTTATATGTCTTTGGTCTTGAGGTTACAAAGATAACTAGAATATAGTTCCTATTTTTGAAAGGTTCCCAGCCTAGCAGCAGAGATGAAAAGAAAAGAAAAGCAACATAAGTGCTATAATGAGTATATCAGAAGTACGGAAGTATGAAAGAACACTAGACTATAACTTCCGTGTGTCAGGGGCCATGTCTTTTTAATCCACCAATACAGAGCTGGTATTAAAAATATTTAACAATTGGTAGGATGCAGACATGCACAATTAGAATCGGTGATATACACCCAGAACCTAACATAGTGCTTCATAAACAGAAGGTATGTAATGAATATTTATTGAGTAAATGAATAACAGAACATCTAATTCTGCCTAATAAAGTCTTGACAGAGGAAATGACATGGTAGTTAAATTTTGAAGGATGAGTAGGATTTCATAAGGTGATGATCAAGGGTGAGCATTACGTTGAAGATTTTACTTCAGCACTTTTCAGTGAGTAACTCTCTTGACTTCACCAAGTGAAAGACAAATTCATAAATCATTTCCTCCATCTCAGAGACCACACAGGAGTTACAGCTGAGAGTCAAGAAAGGACAATAATTTTCCTAGAAAGCTAGTACAGAGCCTGATAAAACTGACCTGTTTCCTTGGTACCAACTTGGAGATTCCTGTAGGTGGAAAAAAAAAAAACAGGCATGAAGGAAGCTATAGCTCAAGGGTCCCAATCAATGGATCTTACTTGTCAGATAACTAAGCTGCAATGTCCTCTAGTTGCAGTTACCAAGATTCTCAATCTTAGGGGGAAAAAATCAGCAGCAGTGTTTCCTTAGGAAATTATTAGCCTTGGGGGAAGAAAACTTCAGCTCCTTGTCACAAAAACACACTGGGAATCCTGCAGACTGAAAAATGTGGGGAAATACAGACAGTCTATGGGGAGAGAAAGGAAAATGACAGGATTATAATGTGCTAGAACAGTTACAAGAATAAGATCAACAGGAACATTATATAAGCACAAAGAACAATCTTGGAAAGAGAGAAATGTCTAGGAAATAGAGTTTGAGTGAGAGAAAGTGTCCTGGGGTGCCTTAGGATTCTTGAAGAGAAATTTTAAGTTATAACAGATATCTCTTCTGTAAGAGAGCTTTCCAAGTGGTATGTCATGACTCACTGGTGTTTGGGAATGGATTACCAGTGTCCTAAATTTTGTTCTTTCATCCCTCCAAGGTCGTCTGTGGTCTTGTCCATTTACTACAGTGTGCTTGCTGTACAAATATTATAGTTACATGTGCCATGATATGAAAAAGGTTAGGAAACACTATACAGTCAGCTAGATAGATGGGCACAGTAGGAGAAAAGATAATAGTGAGGAAAATCTGTTTCATTCACCTTTAGGATGGCTAGAAATTTCTTCAGTTCTCCATTCTCTTTCCTTAAGACTGACAGCTCTCTAGGCAAAAGATGGAAACAATCAGCTCCATCAGGTCCGTGGGGTAAAAAAAAAAACCCGATTTTCATTATAATCAACACCTAAATTCTTCCAGAGAGATGCTTGCTATTATCCAAGGTGTTTCTATCAGAGATCTAGTGATGCAGGGTTTTAGTGGTGAGAAGCAGGTGGACAAAATGAGCAGTCCACTTGCTGTGATTTCAGAGGAGTTTACACAGAATTGCGTTTCCTCTACACACACCCCTGGCCTGCTGATGTCTGAAAATTTCAATCACGGATTCCGTCTTTTAGCTTAAGATCTCCAAAATACACCCTCTTAGAGGTAACATTGTAAATGCTGTCTCCCATCATTATTACCATGAAAAGATTATGTCTGATTTTTCTGAAGAAGCAGTTTTTGAGGAAAGCTATAAAGTGGGGAGGGCACCTTGAGGGAAGAAGGAGAAAAATAAAATGGAGATTGAGGGACCCAAAATTCTGAACCTGATTTACCCAAGACAAACATAAACATGCATGGAGCAATTTTCAGGCTTTGCAACCATAAGGAAATAAGGGCTACAGCTTCTTTGAAAAGAAAAAAGCTCTCTGGTGATTTGATTTGTCACTTACTTGTCCTGATTGGTCAATGTTTGTTGTGCCTCCTGCATGGCTGCTTCTAATTTTGTGATTCTATGCTTATAAAAGGCGATAAGGAGGTCTGTTTGTTTCTTCTGGAAACTCCACACCTGCTAGGGAAAAACAGGCTTTTGACATACATCCCCATAGCTCCTTTCCCCTTACTTCTAGCAACAAATGGAAATCCATCAATTCATACTTTATTACTGACCATTTTTTTCTGGAGCCTCTGACTTAATCCATGATTCCCCAAAACTAGAGGGTTTGGCACTAGAGAAAGCCAAAGCTTTTCATTTCCAAGATAATGCCTTCCTAATATCTTAATGAGAATATTCTGACATGAAATGGTCCTTTAAAAATATAATCACTCATCTTAGGCCAAAAAAAAGTTTTCAAGCTTAGAATTGGTTTTGACCTTACTTGGTTACTATTAGTTTGGACTCAGCTTCAACATTCCTAGCCATTACAGAGCACTGGTAACCAGTTTAGTTTCCCTAAGCTACTCACACAGAGACACCCGCAGGCTGTTAATGCTGCTATGGTAAAGGGCAAAGAGGCAGAGAAGGAGATTAGCTATTCCTGAATTTTATTTCTGGGCATGGGCAAATAATTTTATCTTTTGCTTTAACTTACTATTTGATATACTGATGAGCCTACCATGGGATTACTGAATCAGATCAAAAGTTAATATTTAGAAAGTGTTTTAGCTTTGTCAGGCTCTACTTTTGAATACACAGCAGTATTTATGTCTCATCTGTTTCCTCCCTACTCAGACTATAAACCTTTTGTCTAAGGTCCTTCCTAGATCTCAGCATTTTTATCATAAACTTTTTGTTCTCACCTAATTTGCAAGGTGCTTTTGCCACCTTACTAAAGAGATGTATTTCAGAGTTTACATATAGTACCTAGCCTCTTTCTACTAAAAAGCAAACTAATTCTACACAGATAAGAATTTATTATAGTCTATTTTTTTTAAGTTGTTGTTTTCAATCAAAGTAAAAACATATTCATTTTAGAAAGTTTGAACAGTGCAGAAGCAGAAAAGACACTCAATCTTGGGAGTTACCTAAAATGGCAAAGGGTTGGGGAGCAATAGGTATTGCAGATAGATATAATATATAGCCAAGAGATAGTACCCCAAACATCCTAACCTACTCTTGGGATCAGTTTGTGGTAAAATTAAGTTAGTATCAGGCTTGGGCCAAGAAAACCCAAGTCTTGCCCTAGATGAATTACTTCTTCCTTACAGATCACCAGGGTCACCCGTGCACAGGGAACAGACCCCCTGTGGAACTCCAGGGAGTCAGAATGAGCTGTTAGGGGGTCTTCTGCCTAGGCCTACTTCACCTACTGACCCAAAAAACCTCAAACCCAAATCTCAGATCTGACCATTCCAAGAGGAAGAAAGATCAATCCAAAAAAGAACTACCACCAAGAACTGTTAGAGGAGACAAACAAGTGATTTTACCTGATGCCAGAGTATAAATGTTTAGTTTATTTCAAATACATCTATCAAAGAAGACTCTAAACCCTAACTCAGTTATGAATCTCAGTATTTTATACATCTCAGTTGTGAGCAAACTCATTATTCTGTCTCATTCAAATCCTTCAGCCTCATAAAAAGGCCAACTTCTTTTTTTTCTAAAGGAGGACAAGTTTTGCTTACTTGTTCTTTTTTAAAGTTGGGATTATTTTATTAATACAATAACATAGATCAGAAAATAATAAAAGTAGTTCTGTTGATAACACTGAACACTGGATAACACCATGTGTTAAATATTGCTTATTTTATTGGAACGATGTATGAAACCACCTACTCTGATATTCAGATTCCTTTCCTGTGACTTCACACTAGGACCAGTTAAGGGTATCATGGTCTTCATGCTCTGGATTCCCACTCTTTTAGAACTGATAACATGGAATATAATTTTTATTTACTGAAGAGAGTATTTTAAAACTTCTGTTCTGAATTAGGCCCAGTTAATGGCAAGAGGCTGGAGAAAGTGAAGGAGAAACCACTGAAAGATATTGAGAGAGGCACCGTAACAGAAGCAAAGGGAGAGAGAGCTCAATGGTTTATTATGATAAAACATAAGATATTTTGGTCCAATGTGGGGTGTGCATTTTATTGCAGTATTTTAAAAGGGGAGTTTTGTTTAATTTTAAAATATGTACTTCAGAAATGAATATTAGCTTGACCACCTAGGGTTTTTTTGTACTAAAGAATGGCTTTCCTAATTTTTACTTTTAAATGTCAGGGGTAGCTTTGCACAGTGGCGGTATAGCAGCCAATGAGGTTTAACCGAGGTGCAATTATTCCTAATTGAAAAAAAATTTTTGTTTAATTAAAAAAATTTTAACGTTTAAAAATTTTTTTATTTAATGTTTTGAACACTTGTAAAGGAGTTGCTAAGTCTTAGAATTTTACTTTAAGTAGTATTCGTAAACTCACTATCCTCCTTTGACACTCAAAATCTCTTAGTTTGCCTTGTCTATCTTTTGTGAAACTGACTCCCTTATTCCATAATATCTGTCTTAGTATTTTGAATTATACCACACAGTAATCATACAGTTAAGAAATGGAAATTTCTCTTTTCAAAGTACTCTAGCTAAACAAATGAGAAAGAAATTACAGAATTAAAATATCAGCATCTTGCAACTCCTAATTAATCGATGGATCTATGTAAAGTTCACCAATGGCTACCATAAATGTGTACCATTGTGTATCAATGGCTACACAAAATGAGAGACAGAAAACCACTGCATACCTCTTGGTAGCACACAACACTGCTATAAAGGAGTCTTGCCTCACTGCCCGCCCTGAGCCCCGCAAATCAGATGATTCTGATTAAGCCTAAATAACTATTAATGTTGAGAAAATATAGACAACAGACAAGCATATTAAATGACTCTGTGGGGATACGATGGACAAAATCCATGGTATGAACAACCCTACAGGACAAAAGACCATGTTCTTCAACAATAGTGAAAAAAAAAGGAGAGGAAACTTTCAGTTTAAAAAAAAGTTTTACTTGAGACATACAGGTCAACTATATAGACCTTACTGAAACTCAATTCAAGCAAAATTTTAAAATAATTATGAGACAAATGAGGAAATGTGAATGCTGACTGATTATTGGTAATATTAGGGAATTATTATTATTTGAGCATGACATGGTTATATTTAAGAAAAGAGTACCTGTCTGTAGAGATGCACTCTGAAATATTTACAAGTTGAAATGATATAGTATCTGGCTTTGGCTTCAAAATCATCTGGATGGGGTGGCAGGAGGTACAGACGAAGGCTGGCCATGAGTTGAGAACTGGTCAAGCAGGGTGATGGATACATGGAGCTGGAAACTAACAGGAATAGTATGGGTTCTTGTCCTTTAGTAGCTCATCATCGTATAGTAGGAGAGACACCCAAACATGTGAACCAATAAGTAAAACACAAGGTGATGTGCAGAACAGAAGAAGTATGTATAAAGTATGGAAATAATAATTAAGAGGTAACTATTCAGTCTTCAGAGTGTGGAAGTCAGGTATTCCAGGCATGCAGGTATGAAACTATATGACATATAAAAGAACTGCAAAGAACTAAACCTACCCTATATATTAGCTAATAAACAACCTATATAAGAACTTATATTAGTACATAAGATTTAAAGTGGTAGTTGTGGATGAGACTGGAGAGGTTAGGAGGAAACAGATCTTAAGGGAACTATGTGTCACTCAAAGAGTCTGAAACAGGTGATGGGAAGCCAGCAAAGGGTTTTGAAAAGGCAGTTACATGTTCAGATTTATAACTGAAATAGTAATCATGGTGCTTAAAGAGATTTGAGCAAAAAAGAACCCTAAAAATGCTTCATTATCAAAAAAGCAATTGGAGGACTGTTAATAAGATGTCAGAGGTACCCACTCTGAATGAGAAAGCCACAGCAGCCCACCAGGTGGGGATTTAAATTATGGGTTGCACAGTTTGTGGTCAATACAATTATTACCTCTCACACTGGGGCTTAAGTTTCCTCAACCTGCACAGTAGTGATAAAGAGCTCAACTTTACTGTTTCAGAACTCTTAAATACTGAGAGATAAGCCTTTTCTTTCCAGGTAGAATAATCTTCCATTAAATAAAACCTTTCTTCAAAGACACCATTGACTATGTCAATTGTTCAATTTTTAAATTCAAGTGAGGGATGGAGAACTGGTCTGGTCTATTGATGAGATCAGGTTTTGACCTGATTTTATTCAAACAATTTATATGGTAGTAGTTATTTATGTATATGTTAGCAAAACATATGACTTTAAAGTCAGCCCACTACTGATGAGAGCCACTTGATATATTCGTAAATAAAGTTTTATTGGAATACAGTCATGCCGATTTTTTACATACTGCCCATGGCTGCTTCTGAGCTACAACAGCAGAACTGAGTAGCTGCAACAGAGACTGTATGGCCTGCAAAGCCTAAAATATTTACTGACCCTTCAAGAAAAAGTGTGTCAATTCCAATACTAAATTTATGAAAGTCTCTGTATTGTCATTTGTGTCTTTTGCTCTGAACATGTCTTTCTTTGTGAATCTGTATCTTTCCCTCCTTTTTTCTTAATCTCTTCTACTTCCTACTCTATTTGATGCCTTATCTTGTCTGTTCTCCCTATATGTATCTACTTAATGGACATTTATGTTACTTCTTAATTTTAAAGTGGATGGGCCCAACAAAATGGGAGAAAATGTTTGCAAATCATATATCTGGTGAGGGACTTGTACGTAGAATATATCAAGAACTCTCACAACTAATAATAAAAAGACAATCTGACTTAAAAATGAGCAAAGGATCTGAATGGACATTACTTTAAAGATGACAAACAAATAGCCAATAAGCACATGAAAAGATGCTCAGCATCATTAATCATCAGAGAAATGCAAAGTAAAACCACCCCGAGATACCATTTCACACCACTAGGATGATTATAATAACAAAAGACAGATAAAACAAGTGCTGGTGAGGATACAGAGACATCAAAACCCTCATACACTGCAGGTAAAAATGTGAAATACGCAAGCACTTGGGAAAACAGTCTGGCAGTTCCAAAAGTTAAACACAGAGTTACCATTTGACCCAGTAATTCAATTTCTATGTATATATCCAAGAGTAATGAAAATATATCTCCCCACCAAAACTTATTCATAATAGCCAAAAGGTGGAAACAGCCTAAATGTCCCTCAACTGATGAATGGATACACAAAACATATCCATCTATATAATGGAATATTATTTGGTCATAAAAAGGAATGGAGTACTGATGAAGTTCTAACACAGGCTACAACATGGATGAACCTTGAAAACATTGTGCTAAGTGAAAGCAGTGTGGGATTCAGACAATCAACAAACACATTATGTAATGTCAGAGATAAGATCTATGATGAAAAGTAAAGCAGAGTAAAGTAGAGTTGGGGCTGCTATTTGAAATATGAGTCAGTAAAGGTCTGAAAGAAGAAGGAAAATGTGAGCAGAAGCCTGAATGAGACAATCTAGGTATTACTTGGATCAGTTATTCTTCTTCAGATTAGGAAAACACATTTTCAGACATTGCTGACTTTGTGAAACTGGCCCTTCACTAAAGTGATGATTAACTGACCCTTTCCATTTATTTTATCTTGATTATTTGACCATGTGTAATTGGTCCCATGCTTAGGCAGGTTAGGATTCAGACTATGTATAATTTCTCTACTGATCATTAACTAACCCTGGGTTTAGTTATTAACCAAAGGTCTGCTCTTTCTCTTGATCATGTGACCTTGTTTACATTTCTCCTTGAGTCTCAGCTGGATTTTATCTCCCCATAATGTTAAATAGTATCTCAAATATGACGGCTCACCCAAGCAGCTAAAAGCACGATGCAGTGAAAGCCTTAATTTCCCTTCCTTTATCTCCAGAGTTAGGATTGAGGGGTGATACACCAAAGAAAAATTAAATCTACTACCTTCAGCCAAACATGACAAATGATCACCTTCATGTTTAGTGAAGGAATACTCTCATAAGAACGAGAAGTAAGAGTAGAGAAGAAAATAGTATTAAAATCTCAAGAAATATGCCAAGATGGGAATCCCATGAGGCTATGAAATGATCTTGGGGGAGAACTGGAGAGTGGAAGGGGAAAACTGAAGTTGTTACAATTTGGGAACTCCCTCAAAAGGTTGTGCTGCCTCCTCTCCACTTCCTTCCACATTCCTATTGCTCCTGACCAAGTCAATGGTATGACAACATATCATGCATCAGGAAAAGAAAAATATCTTCTAAAATTCAGGCAATCAACTATAAACACTAAATGAAGAATTAAATATACATACATTATAAGAAAGGTTATTGAAAAATGAGAATGGGGAATGAGAAATCCCTTCTTGAACTTAGGTTTATAAGCAAAACTTTGAAAGCTGACACCAAATCCATTGTTTGCAGGGTCAGGCCTATATCATCAAAGCAATTTTTAGAAGATTCATTAATCTGCACAGAAAGATGATAAAGGTCCCTAGAACCTTCTTATTCTCAAAAATTACTTAATAGAACTAAGAAGCACAAGGCAAGATGTCAGGTACACAATGGCTTTTACAGCCTCTCACAGATTCTAGGTCAGTAAAAAGCGAACTGTTGAGATTTATATCATCAGGGAAAAAAGCAAACACGGCAGCCAATTTCCCCCCATTGTGTACAAATGTACAAATGCAGTTTAAAGAGAACCTTTGGGGAAGAAATAAGATGCAATTAGAATCTGCCTGGAAAATCAGATTTTCTTCACTTTTATTTCTCATACCTGAGAGATGTGACTAAAATACTGCAAAGCTGTCTCCACAGGGCTTTTGAAGTACATCTTCTCCTGAGGTTTTAGCTATGAAGAGAGTAAGACACATCCTCAATGAAATGAAATAAAATACTGGCAAATACAGTTAATGATGCATCACCCTTTCTAAAACCCCTGGTATTATTTCACTGTGCTGAGTAAGAGCAACCACCACCCCACTGTCCCTAGAAGATGGGGACTACGTATCCTAATTACTTACCTCACACTTCTGTGACAGTAGCCACATACAATTCTTCTCTCTGTTGTTTACTTTTTTTTTTAAACTATTGCTATCTACAAGTTTTGTTTGTTTCTTTTTTCTTCGTTTTTAAAAAAAATTTCAGTTCTTACTCACTGTATTCTTTGTATATTTCCTTCAGGCCAGGAATGGGATAAGATGGTTTGTGGCAGGGGAGGAAAAACTTACATTATCAGAAAGAGCCAGATATTTGCAGGCAGTTTCACAAACAGCACATTTTTCTAGAGGGGGAAAGGGAAAAAAATGTTTGGTTCTCATGGGCATGAGGTAAGACTTTCCTGAAGTATGTGGTAACAGTCAAATAGGATAGCTAAATAAGAAGAGAGGATTCTTACCAAATTCAGAATGTCATTGTGCTATCAAAGGACATCAACTTAAGCTCCATTCTCTAAATCAGCAGTTCGAAACTTGTATGTCAATGAGAAGTAATGCTTTCACCCTGTATCTCTACCATCTCCCTTTTTATAAATTCCCAATTATCTTCAGCAGGTGAGGGACAGTAAGCTCCCAGCAGGAGTGCTGGAGTACACTTACAAGAGTCTGGGAAGAGTACAAGAGTATCAGCGATCTCAATTTTAAGTTACATTTTTATTCCCTCTACCTACAGTAAGCACACATTAGGCACCATAAGAAACTCTCCAATTATTCCTGCCCTGTTCTCACTTTGCTAATACTCCTGGATATTGTTTTCAAGTTCTCCTATTTTCATTCTGTAATTAACCCAGTCTGAAAGGTGTGAAAAGTAAAATGCCCAATCTTCCCTTTAAGTTGAAATTTTAATAGCGGTGCTGGTTACTGATTAAGATAAATGCCATGTCAGGAGAAAACATCACATGACATATGCTTCACCTTGAGACAAACCGCTCCAAAGTGAGTTGCTGTTACTATGGTAAATAACTTTGTTGCATTAGCAGGTAACTTAAAAGGGTCATGAGATTGACATAGAGAAAAAGCTCCTCCAGAGGCTACCTAACCGGACTCTTCTTTCCTTGAGGATAAAGTTTTTCCCAGTCTTCCTTTCATATATTATTGCCAGAGTGAGCCAGCAAGTGCAAATCATTCTTCTAGTTAAGAAAAACTCAAAACAAAGAAACTTCCACAGCTCTCCACCACCTGTAGGATAAAGTTCAGGTTCTTTGGCTTGGTATATAGAGCCTTCCATCACCTGGCCACTGCCTACCTCTCTGGCCTCATCTCTCCCCATTTCTTACCTTATTCTTTTATGCTCTACCAATCCCAAACATGTATACTCCTCTGTACTAAGTTTTATGATGTGGTATGCCTTTATACGTGCTGGTCTTTTAAATGAGAATGATCTTCCCTGCCTAATTCACTTGGCAGATTCCAGTTTATTATTTAAAACTCTACTGAAGCAAGACCTCTTCTATGAAATCCTCCATGATCAAAGTACCCTAAGTCCCTCTCTGGACCCCCAGAATACATACATACAGAATACAATACATATCTTGTAAGTATTTTAGCTTTTTTTTTAAAAAACACACCTTAAATAAAAATCTCACTTCTAAGACTTAATAGCTTCAAGAACTTGGTCAAGTTACTTATCCTATTTGAACCAGTTCTTCATTTGTAAAATAGGTCTACTAATAATTACCTCCTGGGATTGCAGTGAGGATACATAAAATTGGTATATGCGAAAATACTTTTTAAGCTGCAAAAGTATCACCACCGCAATCATCATCATCAACATTTCTAATTAAATTGGTATCACAGACTATACCACTTCTCATTAGAAATGGCTCTTATTAGCAACCACTTTCCCAATTTCTATTCATTATTTTTATTTTTTTCTCTTTTCTCTAATCAGTCTGATAACTTTCCCTGCCACAGGCTTCAAAACACTGACAAGTGCCTCTTGATGCTCACAATATAGATTTCCACTTGCTAAATGATTCTTTGTTAATGGATTCCACCAATTTTCAGAATCAACAGTTTCCTAATATATCCACATCACCTTTGGCCTACTAAGTGATTTTTATTCCAAGTTACACAGAGAAATGACTAACCATTATTTCTAGGTTAAAAACATTTTTGCCTGAATCTGAAAATACTAAAGTCACTCACCCAGAGTCACACACTTTTTACAGAAAATATGGCCACAGCTGGTGACAAAGAAATGGGCCCCATCTTTTCGGAAACACTTGTTGCAGTGAAACCAATCCATTCTGTAGCAGAGAAAGACAATAACCAGGGACATAACATAATTATAGCTGTTCCAAAATCTACTTAACAACATTTGCTTAGCTTCTGCTAACTTATTAGGATGTGGGCATATGATTGTGGGTATTCCAATTGGATGTAAGGAAGTACATAAACCTCTGAAGTTAAAAAAGCAAATTGCAGACTATGCTATACCATTTTTTTCCATTATAATAGCCATCTTTATTTATAAAAATCCAGATATAAAATGTATTCTTTCAGTCTTTCTGAGTTTTCCTTTTTACAAAAACAAAAAGGCACATGAAAACCTTCCTCTCTGTCATTCCCACAGACCATGTTTCTCAGGCAGCCCTTCCCAGATACTGTTTTTGAAAAAAAAATACATATTTTTAAAAGTAACAGGACAATTATTATTTTTTCAAATGGTGAGATTGTGTGTATTTGTGTGTGTGTGTATTGCCTTTACACTTTGTTTTCAAAGTTTTCTGGATTAATTCATGCACTAATTTGTAACTAGAAAAAAAAATCTTAAAAAAAAGAAAAGAAACATTTCTTTCTTTCCTAATAGTTTCCTGTGGTTTGGTAAGATGGAGCAAGGAGGCAGTGGACCAAATATAGAAGATCACATATTAGCCATTTGGGACACGTTTTATCTAAGGGAAACATGGTTTTTGAATGATAATGTCTCAACCTGTTCACTTTTCCTTCTATTCTACAGAAACTCAGAAAAATACATCTAGAAGGGACCTTAAAAATCATCTAACATTTTGCCCAATCCCATCATTTTTCAAAAGATGTACCTGATGCTTACTGAAATTCAATGAAAAATTCAAAGTTCTGTCTTTAGGTATTGGCAGCTCTAGGATTAGAACCCAAGTGTCCTCATTCCCTGTGTCTGGTCTTGCTACTACATTACATCTTTGTGTTAGACGTGGCAACCATACATCCTATATTTTCTACCAGTACTGATTCCATGTAATATGTTAAAAACATAACTATGCAAGTGTGACTTGGTAAGATTTTTAAATGAAGAAATTGACATATCAAAAATGCATAGCAGGAGGTGGGTAATAGCTCAGTGGTAGAGCGCATGCTTAGCCTGGGTTCAATCTCCACTACCTCCATAAAAACAAACAAACAAACAAAACAGAGCTGATACACACTGAACTGTAACTAGTTCATACGTTTAATTAATTCATGTTTAATTTCAAGAATATGCTAAAAGAATGCAATATTTACTAGTTTAACTTTATTTAAAATTGGGGGAAAATCAAAACAAATTTCTTTTCACCCCTGAAATCTTTTCTTTAAAAAAGATTTTAAGTGGTTTATGAAGACATTTGCTCAAAGAATGTTGCCTAGCTTGTGCCATACTTTAACACTGTCATCACATAAGGCCAAGGTTCACGATAAAAACTTAAATAAACATTTCAATGAGAAGACATTACACCGTCAGTGTCATGAGCTTCAGATTTCTGTTTGTCGCTCACAGTTACACTAACTTCTACCAGAAAGTCTAAAGAACTACTGAAAATGTCCCAGTATATATGCCCTGGTTGGTTTAGGAGCAAGAACAATTTTAATCAAATGGGTTGACCACGAATGAACCTCTTAGGAGCGGTTAACAGAGTCTGTGAGGGCAAGATCGCCCGGTTTCTAAGGGTGATGGGGATTTAGCAGTCCCAAATTTACCACTAGCTCTTATTTAATTACATCCTACCCGTTTGGCCGTCTTGATCCCAGAAAGCCTCGGATCTCACCGAAATCAACTAGTTCTCTTCAAGAGGTGGAAATGGCGGGAAAATACACAGCGAGCCTGGCACCAGGGAGCGGCAAGAGGCTGGGCGTGGTCCCTGACGCTCGCGAGAGGAGTGGGCGGGGCCTGGCTTGGTGGGCTACGTGGGCGGGGCCCGGGAGTGGGCAGGGCTTGGAAGTGCGGCGGGGGCGAGGGCGGGACGGGGCGGGGGGCGGAAGGGCGGGGGCGGGGGCGG